CTGAGCCAGCATGGGGGAACTATGGCCCCCTCATGACTCGTGGACTTCAACTCCCAGAATTCCTGAGCCAGCATGGGGGAACTATGGCCCCCTCATGACTCGTGGACTTCAACTCCCAGAATTCCTGAGCCCGCATGGGGGAACTATGGCCCCTTCATGACTCGTGGACTTCAACTCCCAGAATTCCTGAGCCAGCATGGGGGAACTATGGCCCCCCTCATGACCTGTGGACTTCAACTCCCAGAATTCCTGAGCCAGCCTGGCTCAGCTTGGAAACCTCTCCCTTTCCCCTCAGCACGGCTGGCTCAGGAATTCTGGGAGTTGAAGTCCAGCAGTCTCATAAAAGAGCCCAGGTGGCCTACCCCTGCCCTAACCCACGCCCAGGACCCCAGGCTCGGGCACAAAGTCAACTTTTCCAGGCTTTACAAAAGGCCAACAGTTGGAGGGCTAATCTGATCTCAGGGGAAAGGATATTGGCAAGCACAACTTCAGGGTCCTGCCGACTGACCCTCCCTAGTTGATGGTACCCAGAGAACTGGAGAAGCTTCTTAGGTGAGAAACTAAACTTTTTCAAGGGGAAAAAAAACAAGAAAGTCCAGTTGCCTTTTGGGAAAAAAAAAAACCTTTGGGAGAACCATCTTACCTTTTTGAGGAGATGGCATCTCCCATAACAAATGAGAGGAGGGGAACCTGCTGGACCAAGTTCACAAGCAACCTGGACAGCCATTTGTCCGAAATGGTATAGGGTTTCCTGCCTGAGCAGGGGGTTGGACTAGATGACCTCCAAGGTCCCTTCCAACTTTATTATTATTATTATATAACCCTCCTCTTTGGACTCCTTCCTTGATGTTGAAGCAGTGGTGGGATTCAGCCGGTTCACCCCACTTCGGCAGAACCAGCAGCTAATTTTTTTTATTGGCCAGGCCCAGAACGGACTTCCAGAAGCGGCATCCACGCAGAGAACCGCTTGTTCACCTCTTTGAATCCCACCACTGGGTTGGAGATGCAGAAATGGACCAGATGAGGCTGGGGGCTTCGGCCCTCCACATGATCCCTGCAGAGCTTCAACATTCAGAGGAGAAAAGGATTAACGGGAATCCTCCAACTGGAGCAAAATGCACTGGCCGTTGCTGGTGCCAGATACTTCCCACACGGGACACCACTGCTTTGCGAATGTCCACGGAGATTCTCCATCATCCAGGTCACGGTTATCACAAAGGTGCTTTTTTCAGGAGGCAACTGGACTTTCTTGATTTTTCTTTGAAGACGTTTCGCTTCTTATCCCAGAAGCTTCTTCAGCTCTGACCGGATGGTGGGGAAGGGAAGGATTTATACTCCTTGCAGACAGCCGGTCATTTGCCTCCTTTTAGAGAGTCGTTGATGCCACTTGGAGGTTTATATGTGTCCTCAAGGTCACCTGAGCAGTGCAAATGGATGTGGAGCCTTCTTGGAACTGCTGAAAGGACTCTGTGGTAGACTGGGGATAGATGATGTCCTATCCCTCCCCCTCTGTTGAAGGAGGGCTGTTCAATTTGGACATAGATGGCCTCTTTGCACCACTCGCGTGACCCTGAGGACACAGGTAAACCTCCAGGTGGCCTCAACGACTCTCTAAAAGGATGCAAATGACCGGCTGTCTGCAAGGAGTATAAATCCTTCCATTCCCCTACCATCAGGTCAGAGCTGAAGAAGCTTCCTGGATAAGAAGCGAAACGTCTTCAAAGGAAAAAGAAAGTCCAGTTGCCTCATGAAAAAGCACCTTTGAGACACTGGCTTAATTTGCTTCTGGATGCAATTCAAACTGTTGGTTCTCCTCTTTATAGCCCTTCATGGCTTAGGTCTAGGTGTCTTTTCCCAACTGATTCTACCTGCCCTACCCAATTTGACAGGAAGGGCACTCTTTGGGTACCATCAGCTGGGGGGGTCATCTAGCAGGACCCCGAAGGAGTCCCCCTGAGACTAGGTTAGCCATCTCTCTGTTGGCCTTTCATAAGGCCTTACAAATCTTGTGCCCAAGCCCTGGTTCTGGGTTGGAGCCTGTATCCTGGTCGTGTGGATGATAGGTTAAATCAGGAGTGTCCAATCTTGGGCACTTTAAGATCTGTGGACTTAAACTGGGGAATTCTGGGAGTTGAAGTCCACAGGTCTTAAAGTGCCCAAGGTTGGACAGCCCTGCCCTATACCAGGGGTAGGCAACCTTGGCTCTTTTATGACTCATGGACTTCAACTCCCAGAATTCCTGAGCCAGCCATGCTGAGGGGAAGGGAGAGGTTTCCATGGTGAGCCACGCTGGCTGAGGAATTCTGGGAGTTGAAGTCCAGGAGTCATAAAAGAGCCAAGGTTTTCCTACCCCTATCCTAAGTCCTCCTGTTCTAAGCGGTGAGCCTCCTAGATCAGAGGTAGGCAACCTTGGCTCTTTTATGACTGGTGGACTTCAACTCCCAGAATTCCTCAGCCAGCCTGGCTCAGCTTGGAAACCTCTCCCTTTCCCCTCAGCATGGCTGGCTCAGGAATTCTGGGAGTTGAAGTCCACGAGTCATAAAAGAGCCCAGGTTGCCTACCCCTGGCCTAGACCATTCCAGATAAAATAGTTCTCCAATCTTTTCTTCAAATCCTCCAGTGATGGAGCACTCACAACTTCTAGAGGCGAGCCGTGATGCATTCATCTCTTTTCTAACTTTTTATTATTATTACTAGGACCAGGGAAAAGAATACAGGTAGTCCTCAGGTTATAACCATACATTCAAAGTTATGACAGTGTCGGGGGGGGGAAACGGCCGTTGCACCATTCTCGCAATCCGATGATCAGAAATTAGGTGCACGGATGACTGTTGTCACGTTCCCCCAGTCACAATCTCCTGCTCTGTCACAATCTGTCTCTGTTTCGGCTCTTTCTCTTCCCCACCCCACCCCTATCTCCCCCCAAAACCTAGCCCAGCATGGCTAAGATGGGGGGGTCCCTCTCTTCCACTGCTACCTACCACGTATCCCTGACCCATCACTGCCCTTTTATCAGTGAGATGGGCAGTGTATAAATTTAATAAATAATCTTCATCAATAAATGGCTCCCCTCCTTTCCTTTG